AGCCACCAGGGGAGGAGGGGAGCTAGAGGAAACTGGGATTGACATGTGAAACAAGCTTGTTTCTAATTTAAATTTAAAAGGGGGGAAAAACAGAAACAAAACATTAGGGGTGGAGCTAAGACACAAAATGCACAGAATTTTTAAAGAGTTTATTTATTGATTGATAATTTTATGCATGTGTACAGTGTATTTTGATCATATCTACCCTTTTCCTCTTTCAACTCCTCTCAGAGTCTTCCAACTTATCTCCTTCTAAACCTCATGTTTCCCCCAATTCTTTATAACCCACTGAAAACAATTGGTACTGCCCTCTGTGCATAGTGTAAGGTTATCCACTAGAGCATTAGCAACCTACCAGTAGCCCTCAACTGCCTCAGTTTCTCAGACAGGGATGGAGACTTATGGGTATCTCTCCCATCCATGCTGGGAATTTGATTGGGTTTATTTTTTGCAGGCAGATCTTGTACAAGAAATCCAGCTGCTATGAGTTCACAAATGCTGTGACCCTGTCAAGTCCAGAAGATACAATGTGTTTTTATACAGTCTTCTCTGATTTCTGAGTCTTATCTCTACCTCCTTTTATGTGATGCTCTCTGAGTATTGAAGGTAGGGGTTGTGATACAGGTATCATTTGCACTTAGGGTCAAACACTCTACCATAGCTGATTCCATGTGCTTTGACCAGTAACGAACCCCTGCAAGAAGCACAGTCAATTGTTGCAAGATGAAGCTTCTCTGATAAGTGCTGAGAGCAGAATGAATCTATGGGCAAAAGACAAATATTTAGAATGCAGTTGGATATTATGTCTATTCAGTAAAATAATGTAGGCTTTCCTCTGTGGTCCTTGACTTCTACAACCACAGGTCTTTGGTCAGGTTTACAGTAGCAAGCCTCAGTTCCATCCTGTAAAATGGGCCTTAAATCCAACCAGAAAATAGTTGGCTACCCCCATAACATTCATGCCACTATTGCATCAAGAGGCATATATTTCAAGGCTGACCTTCATTGTAGGTCACAAGGTTCACAGCGGCCTAAGGCTATTGATGACTTTCCTTTACCAGAATCCTGTACAGTACCTTTTCTAACTATAAAAGCTAGCCAGAAGGAAGGCAGCTTACAGGTTTGTACCAGCTTCCTTTCCCCTTGTGCTATGGCCCAAATCAGGGTGTCAAGCAACAGGGTCTTACTATCAGATTATGGTAACAAGGAACAGTGACAATAGATTGCATTAAAAGAGGCTCCCTCATGGCCAAAAATTAGAAGGAGCCATTCCACACCTGGGATGAGCATTATCCGTAACCCTATAGGTTAACGCCATTAAACATATATGTCGGGCATATTGTATAAAATAGTAAATTAACATATGGCTTTTTCATACATCTTAAGTATCAGTTAGTCTTCCCTCCATCCTCTTCTCTCACCTAACCTGCCTGTTATTATTCACTTTCGTTGTTATCTTAAAACAACTTACAATCTTCTGGAAAGAGCGTTTCAATGAAGGATTGTCTACATTTGCATTGGCCTGAGGATATGTCTGTGGGGATCTGCCTTAGCAACTTCAGTGATCCAGCCCACAATGAGTCACCGTGCCTTAGGCAGGGCGTTCTGAACATATAGCAGTGGAGACCTGGAGCTGAACACAAGCAAGCAGGCACATGCACGGATTTGTCTCAGCTCTTGACTACAGATGTGATGCAGCTAGCTGTTTGAAGCCTGCCATGACTTCTCAGCACAATGGGCAGTAACCCCGAATTGTAAGCTTAAATAAACACCGCGGTAACCTGAATGAGAACTGTGTTCCATGAGCCTAGGTACTGAACAATTAGTTAGCAGCTGCTGGAGGTGGTGGGAAGGTTTAGGAAGTGCAGGCTTGCTGGAGGAAGGACGCACTAGAGGCAGCCTTCAGGAGTATAAAGCTTCATGCCACGTCTAGTTCACCCTCTGTCCTATGCGCCTGCATTTGAGGACGTGTGCGCTTAGCTTCCTGCTCCGGCCCCATCCTTGCGGCTCTTGCCATGCTCCTCCCGTGATGGACTCCTATCCCTCCAGAACCCTAAACCAAAACTGTTTCTTCCATAAGTTCCTTTGGTCACGCTGATTTTTCACAACAGATAAGTGATTATTACAGGTCCCTTTGTCCCTTATTTGCCTTTTATTTTAGCAAAGGAAATGAAACTAGAACACCCCCCATTCCCCTCCTAAGCCCCACTCCATGATTTCCCTTTTCCTCTTTATACAACTGTGTTCACCTATCTCCCCTCTTTTAACATCGCTCTACCCCACACCCAGGAGTGCCTTTCTAGTTTACTGGCCCTTTCCAGTACTTATTAAATACATAATCCTAAATATTAAAGGTTAAAATATACACATGAAAGAGCAGGTGCATTTTTTTCTCTGCACCTTGTTTGGCTTATCCAGATTAATTTTTTTCAAGTTCTATCCATTTACCTGTAATAATTTCAATTTTCTTCATAGCTCAACAAGATACCTATGCATATTTGATTTCACTCTCCATCCTTCAGCTGATGGACATTAAAGCTATTTCCACTTCTTGGCTATTGTGAGTAGAGCAGCTGTGAACATGGATAGGAAAGTGTCTCTACAGTAGTATATAACACCTCTTAGATGTGCCCTGGGTCATATGGTAGACCTATTTCTAGCTTTTGAAAAACTTCCACACTGATTCCCAGCATGTTCATAGCTAAAAGCAAAACATGGGAAAAGGCATTTCTCTTGTTCACACATCCGTTTTTGATTACCATTTTAAGTCCACAGGAATTGCACCCAGTCCATAACACAAAGGAATAATAAATTGCACAACATAATTCATATATTGTAAAATAAGTGTTGTGTGTTAAAAAGGCCTCTTGGCACCCTGATTCATACCACAGAATTTCAACAGTTCTAGATTTGTAAAAGTAGAAAACAAATGTGCTCATTCAGTTTCTACTGGTGCATCTGAGCCTACTGGACCCGAGAGGAAAAGACTGTCACTGAATGTTATCTGGAGTAACTTTAGGGAAGAAATTTGATATTAGTCAAATAACAGGATATGGTACAACTAGTCACTAAAAAAGAAAGGAATTTGTATGACATATTGTTGCTCATGATGGGATTAAATCAGCTAATATGTGGAATTAAATATTAACTGAATAGAACAACTTGCATTATAGAATAACTGGGAAAACCTATCAATTACTTTAAGTTCAAAAGCAGAAACTACTAAGGTTTTGTAAAGTAGAAGAAATAGTAAGTTGAATTAAGACAACAGGATAACTTGATACATAGTGATATTTAAATCATAATAAAATCATATCAAGAGTTGAAATATGGAGGTTAGTGACCTTTTGGGAGTGCAACAAAAGTTTGTGGCTTATAAATAAGTTTGAGTTGAAGCTAGAACATAAAGAACTTTCAATGGGTCTTTATCTTCTAGTACACTGCTTTAAAAAGTTTAAAAATTATTATTGACTAAATTTGTTCTTTGGCAAGTGTGTGTGTGTGTGTGTGTGTGTATGCACATGTGCATGTGAGCACAAAATTCGTCATGGATATTCTCACTACACCTTCTTTGATTGCATCATATCTGTCTGAACAACAACTTCCCTTACAAATGCCTGGCTCACATTCATGACTTTCTGTTATGGTTTTGTGACCCATTGAGTTTAATCAAGGCTGTCTGTGTGACCATGAATTTGTAACTATCCTCTGGACCCCAGTAAGAAATATCTCTTACTCCACATGTAGACACACACACACACACAAACTTAAAAAACACACAACTAACATATATAAAGCAAAACATATATCTCTTGTGCATATACACATATTTTTGTCTTACTGTATTCAGTATCTTCTGTTGTTTTCTACCCAAATCAATCCTATACTGTTCCCACTAAGGATTCTTCATTGACTCACTGAAGGAATGATGATGTGTAGGAACTAATAAGCAGCTTTCCAGTGGAGCTCATGGGTGCATCTAAATGAAGAGGTATGGCCAAACTTTAGGAATTGTACCTGTCACACAGGACAGGATAAAGAGAACACTTAGCCTGGTGATTACTGGAGCCGTGAAGGCAAACAGTTGACTGTCAGCTGCGTCAGCTCGTAGTAACATAAACCAAGGAGAGGCAACTAAGAGTGATTGAAGGTGGAGAGACAGTGAAGATATGAACAAAAGACATGTGAAAGACCAATGGAGATTTTTTTAAACCCCATTGAGTCCCACTGTGGGGACAGATGTAGAACTGCTCACGAATAATTCAAAACATCTCTGTGAAATAATTGCCTAAAAACTTCTGAAATACAAGCAGCTCTGATCTACTCAAAGTCAGCGCACTGATAAAATACAAAACCTCACATATCCTTAGAAGATAAGGCGAATTTGGAGCATATGTTGAGCTTCTACTGGGAGCCAGGCATCAGAGTATGTGAATTTTCATTTAATTCCCAAAGCTTGCAAAGAAAGTATTGTGTCTGTATCTATATGGTGAGGTTCAAAAAAGGTAAGCCATTGTTTCTGGGCAAAGAATTTGGGAGATCAAAACCCAACAGAAAGGCTCACACATATCGGATTGGGAAGCTGGGACTTTATTGATAGTACAAAATTAAAATTACTAAAACCATTACAATTAATAATTTAAAGAAGCGGTGCTTTTATAAAGCAAATTGCGTTTAAGTACACCTTGCCGTTTTTCAAAGCTCATGATCTCAGGTAATTCTTCATAGTCTACCCCTGAATAGTTACAGAAGAGAAATAAAGGTTGTTATTCAACTGACAATGATTTTTAAAGAGACCTTTTATTTAATGTTATAATTGCTGTTGAGACTCTTGGAGTCTCATGTTTGTCACTAGCATAAGTTCAGGTCTTACAAGCCATTAGGGGGCAGACAACAATTTCTCATATCTCAGGCTGGGCTCTGGTGTCTCCTCTTCCTCTGATACGGTTAGCTCACTCCAGCCTGGATGCGCTTCCTTAGCAACTGGTTGCCCTGGGCGACGGAAAGACGCAGTCCGGCTGACTGCATTCCTGGCTAATTCCTAGCACCTGCTAGCGGTCAAAGGCGCCAGGCAGCTATGTCGGAGATCCTGTGCCAGTGGCTCAACCAGGAGTTGAAGGTGTCCCGGACCGTGAGTGAGTGACCAGAGCCTAGGGCAAGCGACGCGGGGAGCACAGAGGGCACGCTGATGGAAAGTGTTCCCTGAGTAGCTAAGCAGCGCGGCACAGTGCTAGCCAGCACTCCTCAATCCTACCTAGCCACCTCGGGCCTTCTGATTTCATCCTGCCTCTTCCATTACTCTATATTTTGAGGGTTCAGCCCTCCGAGTTTCTGACCTAGTTTGTATTTCTAAGCAGCCACGGAAGCTTAGGTTCGACCTACTGGTCTGCTCCTATGGGGAGAAACTTTGTGTCTATCTGCAGTCTGACCCTGGCTTTGCTTCCAGGACATGTGCATTAAGATGTGCAGGGCAAGCTCATGAAGCAGGAAGTGCTTCCAGGAGTTGCAACTTTTTCTGTGTTTCCTCCAGTGTAAATTAGATCCAGTCACACTCTATTTAACAGCAAAAAGGTTGATGTAGACTGTGTTAGCCTTTGCCAGTTTTAGGAACTTTAATCTCAGTTTACAAACTTCAGTTGTTTACCCCTTTCTAACCTTGTTTGATTTTATCAAAGGTATAAAGCTGTAACTGAAGCTCCTAGATTCTTATGGCCTAGGAAGTTACAAATAGTTTGGATTTGGTGAGAACCAACACTTCCAAGCCCAGCACTTCAGTGTGCTCCCACTCCTTTTTGGGGGAGGGATTATTGTCTCTCCAGGGGTAACTCATTTTCAGTTGCTATAGATTTCCCTCAAGGCAAGACATTTTCAAGACAAATCATTTCAATCTGTCTTCCCAGAGGAATCCTTGCCTCCCTGCCAATTGCTACCAATGGGGACCTGATGCCAGTTTAGCCGTGGGTCATCCACAGCGTTGTGTTTGTGCAGGTGTTAAATACCCATTGTCAGCCCAAGGAGCTTGGACACATAGCATCCCAAGGTTCATTTCTGGAGACGCAAATATTAGACTCATTATTTGCTAAGTCACCTCCATTCTGCTATGAGCAAAAATAAATTCTTGCTCAGTGTTTTATCTTTTTGAGCCTATGAGAGTGCCTCTGCTCAGATATGATGCTAAACTCAGAACAGCATCTAGCATTTCTTCTTCCTCTCTCACCATATTGTCCAAAAATGTGGTATCACACCTGAAGCTGCACTATTCTAAGACAACAGGTACACATTTCTTAGCTTGTTAGTACACTTATTTGATAATAAAGTCACACCATTTCCTCAAGTCCCTAGGACCCCGGTAGAGTAAAACACTTCTGGATAAAGTAAGTAAAATTAATCATAAACATGCAAACACTAGATGTTGTTATAATACTAATAAGTTTGAGAAATTTGGTTCTGGAAGGAAGGAAGCATGACTTCATTCTTTGAAGATTAAAACTTGGAGACATTTTAAATAAAAGTTTAACACCACAAGCTATGAGTGGAAAATTCCCAGCATCTTTTTTTCCTTAAGTATAAATCTGGAAATTGTTAGCAGAGACACCCCATGCTAATTTCATTTTAAACACTAGCAACACAGCTATTGCTGAATCCCAATTACTACAAGATGTCTGAGGAAAGAGTCTCTGATGTAGCCAAATTATGCATGTAAAGGGCTATCGAGAGTACAGGGAGTATAATATATTCAATTGTGTTTGTCACCAAGATAGGAGTCCTGTGTACCTGGAGGAACACACGGACTCTTGTAGAAGTCTACTCATCACGTAACTTGTTCTATGGAGTGTGAAGGAAGATTTTGAATACTTTGTGAAATGTATGATGTAAACAGACAGTGGAAGTTGAAAAAAGTAATTGGCGATTTCTGGATAACAGACATGTCGAAAAGGGGATTGGAGCCTGGACTACCTGGCCCTAAATATCTTCTTCACCATTGCTAGCCAGTAGCCTAAAGTTGATTGTGCTTAAGAACAGTATTTGTAAATGATACTTCTTCAGTTCTACCAAGGTTAAATTGCACAATACATGTAGAGCAACCAAAGAAGTATCATTTCATCTTCAGTCATCTTAAAAAGCATCAACATAGGATATTTGAGCAAAGATATATATTGCTGTGTTGATTTTGGAACAGAAATAGTCTGAATAGCCTTAAATAGAATAAAAGCTTCATAAATGATGTTCTTTTATACTATGGATTACTGTGCAACTATTGAATGAATGGGATACAAGCTTGATACAACAGATTTTTGTTTATTTATATGAGTAAAAATATTGTAGCTAGTGTAATTGTAGTTTTATCTACACACACAAATAAATACACAGGTATTAGGGAAAAGAAACACATGCACTGTGCTGTACTATATTGTTAACATGTCCATAAGCCTTCATATAGTAATGTATTTTAGCATAAATGGAAGTATGTAAAGAAATAATCCAGTGTTAATGCTGATTACCCTGAACAGGTGGGCATTTATATATTCCTTTCATGCATTTCTTTTATTTGGATTGATCTTGGGTTGCTTTTAGAGTTTAAAAGGAAAATTCAACACAGTATTGAAACGAGAAGTTCAAAGTGGAAGTCAAACTTCATGCAAAATAAGAGAAAAACATGTTAAAACACGCATGCTTTTTATAATAAATGATTTTATAAACTCTTTGAAGAGTTGTTTTCTCAAATAAAACATATAGCTGGAATAATAAGAAATAATTACAGGCCACTGAATATTCATAACATAGACTATGCTGAGACATTTTTATACTATTTTTTATTTGATGTTCCAAACAAGCATCAAAGCAACGCCTCCAAGTGAAGATGACAATGAGAATGTTTGGGGGTTGGTCAGGGATACACTGTTAATACATTGTAGAGCTAGGATATTAACTTAGACATTTGACTTTTGCTTTTAGGCACTGTATTCTATAGTATTGCTTACACTTATGAATATTTATTAGTATCTACTGAGCAATCCATCTACCTTACAAGCATTCATTTAAACTCATTTTTAAGGATTGTCATCTAATTTGGAGTTTTTTCTTTTAAAGTACTGAACTTTACCATTTAGCCTCCCTGGCAAGTTATAAGATCTCAAGACATTAGTCAATTCCCAGATGGTTAAACAGCAAAGATGGGATTATTCGTATTTGATTAAGAGTGGTTTAGTCCATTCATTGCTTGTGAAGCAAAGAAACAAGACAAGAATGCCACTCAAGTGCCTTTATAAGGCTAAATAATCTCAAGAGACAGCCAAAGTGAATTAATTTCTAGATTGTCTTGAAAGCTAGGTTCTGAACTACCCTGCTTATTCACAGTAGAGAAAAGACATTCCAACAATCTAAATCAGGAATAGTCACCTTCCACTTGGGCTGGTGCTAGTATATACTCTTAGGTGTTCCTGGAGAGATGTTTAATCCTATTGAAGGAAGACTCCAATCTAGCCAATGAAAAACCAAATAGCCTTCAATAAGATATATTTATTTAATCATTTGTCCTTAGAAATAATTCTTTTTTTCAGTCTTTTTATAAATATTTTTTATTTTTAAATTTAAATTAGAAACAAGGTTGCTTTACATGTCAATTGCAGGTCCCTCTCCATTTCCCTCCCCTCCTCCCATGCCCCCCCAATATCCCCTCATTTCCCCAGGGAGGGTGAGGCCCTCCAAGGGGGTGTCCATAGTCTGTCATTTCATCCAGGATAGGGCCTGCACCCTCCCCCAAGATTTCAGGGTGAGAGTGCATCTCTCATTGTTGGATGGGAGTCCAAAGTCCATGTGTATACCCGGGATAAATACTGATCTACTACCCAAGGCTCAATAGATTACCTAGGCCTCCTCACTGACACCCACATTCAGGGGGTCTTGATCAGTCCCATGCTGGATTCCCAGCCATCAGCCTGGGATTCAAGAGCTAACCCTTGTCAGGTCAGCTGTTTCTGGGAGTTAAACCAGCTTAGTCTTAATGCCTTTGCTCATCAGTCCTCCCTCTCTGTCACTGGATTTCTTGAGTTCAGCTCAGTGCTTAGCCATGGGAGTCTGCCTCTTCTTCCATCAGCCACTGAATTAAGGCCCTGTTTCCCAGACTCTCTGGCCATGGGATTGTAGGCAGGCACTCACCAGATCTATGTCTAAAATCCATATATGAGAGAATACATGCCATGTTTCTCTTTTTGTTACTGGGAAACCTCTCTCAGGATGGTTTCTTCTAGTGCCATCCATTTGCCTGCAAATTTCAGGATTCCATTGGTTTTTTTTTTTCTGCTGAATAGTACACCATTGTGTAAATGTACCATATTTTCTCTATCCACTCTTTGGTTGAGGGGCATCTAGGTTGCTTCCAAGTTCTGGCTATTACAAATAATGCTGTTATGAATATAGTGGAACAGACATCCTTGTTGTATGAATGGGCATCTTTTGGATATATGCCTTAGAGTGGAGTTGCTGGATCTTGAGGTATGTTTATTCCCATTTTTCTGAGGAATCTCCATACTGATTTCCAAAGTGAATGTACAAGTTGGTACTCTCACCAGCAATGGAGGAGTGTTCCCCTTTCACCATATCATCTCCAGCATAAATTATCGTTGGTGTTTTTTATTTTAGCCATTCTGACAGGAATGAGATGATATCTCAGAGTTGTTTTGATTTGCATTTCCCAGATGGCTAAGGATGCTGAGCACTTTCTCAAGTGCCTCTCAGCCATTTTAGACTCCTCTATTGAAAATTCTCTATTTAGTTCTGTAGCCCAATTTTAATGGGATCCTTTGGTGTTTTGGAGACTTGCTTCTTGAGTTCTTTGTAAATTTTGGAGATCAGCCCTCTGTCAGATGTGGGGTTAGTGAATATTTTTTCTCATTCTGTGGGCTGCCTTTTTGTCTTGCTGACTGTGTCCTTTGCCTTACAGAAGCTTCTCAGTTTCAGGAGGTCCCATTTATTAATTGTTGATCTCACTGTCTGTGCTACTGGTGTTATGTTCAGGAAGCTGTCTCCTGTACCAATTCGTTCAAGGGTACCACCCACTTTCTCTTCTAAGAGGTTCAGTGTGGCTGGATTTATGTTGAGGTCTTTGATCCATTTGGACTATGTTTTGAGCATG